GAGCCCAGAAATTCAGGAGGACATTGAATGTCTTACATCAAGGTATAAAGGCATGGAGTTGTAATGTTTTGGGTTTGGTTTTTTTTCCAGTTTGCTTTAATTCTGTGTCCCATTACTTTGCATTAAATAAAAATTTAAGTGCTGGTTCATTGACCACACAAACGGTTCAAACAGAACAACTCCAGTGCTACCTGCATTAGTAACTAACACTTCGTACTGAGGTTAGCTTTCTGAAATTAAAAAATGACTTTTTTTTTTTCTTTGTGTAAACTGTTCAGGTTGTGTTTGGTTTCATGTGTTTGCAGGCATTCCTATTAAAAGAAGACAAAAGAGCTTCCTGTTCACATTAGCTGGCTTTGCAACTTTTTTTTTTTAATAAAAACAGAAATTGCCATTAAATGTGTCTCTTATATTTAAAACTTGGGTAGGTAATGATCTTAATTATTATGCTCAGCATATATGAGCCTTGGTGATAATGGTGCTGGCTGTCTCATCGGGAAGAAGTGAACTATTACAGTTTGTCAACACACCACTGAGCAGATAGTTCAGAGTACAAAACCTGTGGTAATCAGTTGGATAGGCTTTCTTGTTCTCCTTGCTCACTGTAGTTCTTGAAACAGAAAATGAATGTTGGAATTGGATCAAGAATTCTGACTTCAGTGGTCTTTGTTTTATTTCCACATGCTCATAATATTAATATTAACTTGCTAATGATGTCTGGATGCATTCCAGGTCAATCTCTTATTAGTTTTAACTAACATCTGTCACTGGCAACCACGCTGACAGCCAACTACCTTATTTTCTTGCATAAGAAAATAAATATTTATTTCAGTACTTAGAATGCTCCTACTGCTTTGGTACCAGCAAATTTAAATTTTAGAAAGAAATAAAAGCCTGTGTGAGGATAAACTGCATCTTCAAAATTCAAGCTTAGTAGGAAACTGGTTGTGTGGATAAGGACTTAGTTGACAGTCGTGTAAGATAGTACCTGGAGTACCAAAGAATTTAATTTTAGTCCCCCTTGAACTAAGACAACAAAGTCGCAACTTGGTGATGAAAACTTGTTTTAACCTTTGCTCAGGCAATACTGAAACAAAAAAATTATAGATTTGTAGAATAGTTGAGGTTGGGACCTGGACCTGGAGGTCTCTAGTCCAACCCCCTTCTCAAAGCAGTGTCAACTAGAACAGGTTATTCATGGCCTTGTCAGTTGAATTTTTATTAGCTTTTAAGGATAGAGACTGGGCAGCCTATTCCAGTTAACTGATCACCCTCACAGGTGGTCAAACCTTAGTTACTTTATGTAAAATCATCATTATTACTAAGTTTCCATGTAAACTACTTGAAGTAGAAGTAAAGATTTTTTTCATTTGTTTGTTCTAGAATTCTTAAAAGGTTACTGTAGCTTTATTTCTTCTGCATTTTAATCGTCTTCTGTTTTAAATGCTAGGAAAAAAGCATTTTGAATGAGAATGATAATGCCAGGTCTATATATCTCTGAGCAAAGAAACTTAAATCTGGCCGAATTTTCTGAATCCAAACACTTGCATACCTTTTGTTGTTGTCTGGTAGGAATTAGCTTCAGAAGTGTACTGTTCTGAATCCTCCTCTGAATTTAAATGGATTAAAATAAACCCCAGCAAATTGGTGCTTTTATTTCATAGCTGCTATAAAGGAGATCAAGGAGCCAGAAGACATTACAGGAAAATAAAGGTGTTTTATGAGAATACTCAAAAACCTTGTCTGAGCTAAGCATGCTGTTGAAAACTTCATCCTGATTATCTTTGTAGGCTAATATAATGTTCACTACTAATTCTTGCCTCTCTATTATCAGCCATGTTACAAATGTGAATGAAACTAACTTTTCCAGTCAGTCAGTTTCAGATGACTTGTTGGTTTTAAAGTCCTAGCTACTACACAGCAGATTTCAAATGCTGAAAATAATTTGGTAAACTTTTTCCATGCTTCTAGAGTTGTACAAAACTGTAGAAGGATTTAGAAACTGTAAAGATACAGGACTTTAGTGGGGTTTTTCCCAGTTAAGTGTGAGATTATCTTTTAGAAAAAGCATTATCTATTCTCAAGAAAGAGTAATTGGTGGTAAGATACCATTAATTTTGGGGATGGTAAACTTCTACCCCAATGAATACATAGAGTCATAAAGCTTACAGTGGCAGAGGTTACAATGAAGGCATTTCAAAATGGGTG